GAATTAGATTTACCAAAGTCTTCTTTGTGGTTCATAACATCCACCTGTACAGAACAACTATTCCATCAATCACAAAACAAAACCATGAACAACTGACTTTTTTAGACCATTTCTCTAATTACCATGTTACACTCCTTTATTAAAATATTATTAATCAGAGTAAATAATACTATATCCTGGCTAATTTGCTTCTGGCATTCTTTCCAACAGCAAAGTAAGTGCTTGCTTGTTCACTGCTTTTGCCAGCCCATATAATGGCCGCTCTCTGCTGCTTTTTGCTAATTTTAGCCTTCAATTTCCTTTGGCAAAGCAGAAATCTATTAGTTTGCCCTTAATTAAGCTCATGGAACGTTAATAAAAACCAAAATGAGCAAGGTAACTCAGAACTCCTGCACTTATTGGCTGGGTTTGTGCCATTCAAGAAGAATTTGACAGAGGATCTAGAACAGGTGAGGAACAACCAGGCACTCAAGGATGAAGCATGAAGACAATGTGGAACACCAAGTGTTTGATTCACAGGAAAAGTTCCACAAAGGAGTCTGGCTTTAAGCCCTGGAGAAAGAGTCAGACAGATTTCTGCTTACTCACAGCTGAGAAAACCCAGCCTTAAGCAGCAGCAGCAATCCAGGCCAACAGGTGACAGCTGGAGTATTTGCTCATCATCAATGACCAGATCTGAAAACCTGCTTAAAAATGTACAGGTTTCTGGCTTAGCCAGCAGAAAACAGATGAGAGGGAAGGCTAATGATGGAGATGGATGAGATGGGAGAGAAGGAATGAGAATAATTTCACTGTGCACTTGAAAGCAGTCAAGTAGTTTCCTCTTCAATTATGTGAGACTCTTTTCCCCTGCAAAAGAAAGCTTCTTTTCTCCCATGGACTCAGTGGCTGGTTTTCCTTCACAGCTCAAGAGGCTGTTTCAACCACTAATTGCTTCTGGTTAGGAAAAAAAATATTTATTCCACAAGCATGGCTCTCTGCCTTGAAAATGTGGAAAGGTCAGAGTGCTCGAGGAGCTTTCTGTTTGTTTTCTATCAATAACAGAAGGCACGAGCTGACAGCCATGCAGATCCCCAAGTCAGCTCAAAATCCAGGGAGCTCCAGAAATGGAAACAGCCTGGTTGTCATAGCAGCAGAGCAGGATACCTGAGCTAATTACTCAGGCTGAGAGGCAGAGCTAATTAGCCCTGATGCAGCATCACACTGACACAGTTATAATCCTTCTGGGACCTCTCATACATATTGCTGATTACACATTTCAGTTTGCTTGCAACCAGCTCACAGAGCTCAGCACTCAGTGCTGGGCTTTACATAAACATTCAAAAGAAAGAGAGAAACAAGGGGAAACCAAAAATGTCTTTCTACAAAGAAAGCAATGGAAAAGAGTTCACAAAAACCCCCAGAAAACTCTGAACACTGAATTGCAACACTTCTGCAAGGGAGGAGGGTGCCTGAATCCACAATGCTGCAGACCAAAGCATAAAAATGGAGATGGAAATTTCAGTAGTGTGGATACACCTCCACCCCAAGTCCAGTGGCACTTAATTGAAAAAGGGCTTTATCATTACAACAAGTTAATGTCAAAAAGTTCCCCGTTACCTAATAATGAAAACTCTGAAATTTTGCTCCTGTCTTAGAAATAAGAAAGTAAATACACCACCACCTGCTTTACAGATTGTAAATCCCATGGAAAATAAACACCAACTACCAATAGACATACCTGTTTTATTTTCAAGGACTGCAAACAGCATTTTTGCTGGTTTTCCACAAAGAAGTAGTATTTTAACACTTACCTTTTCACCTTTCTAAGGTACTATCCTCTACAAGACCCTCCCTCTAGAAACAGCAACACATTTTAAAAAGGTCAGAAACAAAAAGTGAATGAGTGAATGTATCAGTCATTGTTAACCATTTTTCTGTCACGGAAATTCAACATAACATGATGGAAAAGGCTATACAGACAAGCTGTGAAAGACAGGGACTCTTTATATTCTCAAAGGAAAAAAGCAAGCAAGATAAAGAAAAATTCTGTACATAACCATTAAACTTCCTTGTAATCAAAATTAGCAAAGGCAACCTATGTACAGATTGAGCAGGCAAACGAGAGGAAGGATGACATGACAAGTGACCAACTCCCATGCAAATCTGCTTATTGAACTGAGATGTTTTGACAGTTCAATACGAGAAACTTCTCATTTACACCAAACAGCACTCTAAAAACACAGAAAGATGACTGGAGCACACTAAAACCTAATCTCCTATGTTTTTAATGGACATACTTTAAATAGATAATCAGAAGAGTTGACAAAGGACAGATATGCTTGAATATTTACTGAATGCATATTTATTGAATTTTAAATTGCACAGATCTTCTACATTCACCTGCAGAAGCCACTAAGTTAACAACTGTTAGTATTAACAAATTACATAATACACCTGCTTAGTCATATTTACAAGAGATCACTTCTCATTTCAGCAACAGCTCCAAGCAAAGCTGGAAGATGCCAAGAGGTTAATTCAAGAATCTGTGCTGCCCAAGAGAATGGGATAAATACATAAAAATCAATGTTTCTCTAAACAGAGAGGTATTTTTTCAGGGTCAATGGTGTTGCTAAATGAAACAGTTTGGGGCCTCTTTTTCTAATTAAAGCCAGTAAATGGACACACACTCTTCCACCTGCTCAAAACTTTGAAAGACACATCAAGCTAAATGTACTTTACATATATTTAGATATCAAGTGATTCTAAGCACTGTTGAAATGGTAGATTTATAAACCTAAGATCCCAGTTTCCTGAGAAACTTTGTCCCAAGGTAGCTGTCCTCCTCCCTTCAGTTAATGATCACTAGCTTAGATCTATTATCAGTCAGCATTTAAATCAACTTTGGGAAAGGAGGCTGGAGAATCCAAGACAATGTTAGTGGAGCAAACTGAAAAGAAGAAAATTAAGGAAGATAAAGCAATCATTGAGGTTCACAAGGGGTGGTTATTTATGAGGAACAGAAATAAGCAAGAATGTCAACAAAGTCTCTAAAGGGAAATAAGGATGTCATAACATGATCTTCCCATGATAAAGAATCTTTGTCTCCCTCACAAAATACAGAACAACTCCCTATTTCTCATTTCCATTAAGGACAGCTTAGTATGCACTTTACCCTAAGTGGACTACCAATAAAATCCACTCTCTTCTGATAAGCTCTTATTTATTCTAGAAAACAAGTATATTACTGGAAACTGGAAAGAACTGCACTGTTTGCCAGGATATTAACCCTGTTCTACAGCTGTTACTGTAGCCACTGCAAAAATTCCAGCACAGAAATAATCTCCCAAACACACTATAGACTTGGGGGACAAGAAATGTTTGCTTCCTTTCTCCTACCATTGCTGTTTGGGAGCAGAAGGCACTGAAAGAAGCTCAGCACAGACAGCCCTGGGATACAGAGCAGAGCAGTGAAAATGAGAAGTGACCACTCAAAGAAAAGCCAAGCAAGTCAATGACATCAGGCACTCACTCACAGTGCTGCTGCCTCCCAGCCAGTCACAGAAAGCTTTTCTGGGAAGCACTTGCTCCAGCAGCATATGGCTGACAGTGGGCATTCAGCCTGCATCACTCACCAGCAAGGGGTTTAAAAAATAGGAGTCTTATCAGAGTGCTGCTTTCTCTAATGAGGAGAAAGAAAGGGAGAATAAATTAGAGAGCAGCAGGGGAATGAAGATATTTATGACATGCCTTCACCAAAAGCTTGCATCAACAATATAAACATATGGCCAAAGATGCCTTTGGTTTAATGCTGCCCAAATTCTTGTGGGGTTCCTTTTCTTTTTTTTTTTTTTCATATATACACTTCAGGAGAGTTATTAAAAAAAAAAAAAAAAAAAGAAAAAGCACAGAGAATACTACTACTTCCACATAAGCTGCCAAACACAACCAAAAAATGTTTCATGGTCTCTGTGTGAACAGTGCAGACACTGACACAGGCTGGTAACCTAAGCTCTAACCTTCAGCCCTTTTACAGGATGCTCCCAGAGCTTCAGTCTTTCCTGTCATCCACAAAACAAGATTATTTCCTTCAGCTTTGAAAAAGAGTTGCTGAAGCTGCTGATGGTTCCTGTTTCTTTTCTCTGATGCTTTTAACTGCTCAAGACTTCACCTTATACTGAAGAAGAAAGAAAAGGGACTTCTATCCAGACCATTTGGTGCTTAAAGGTATATTCCCACATCAGATACAAAACAAAGAGAAAGAATTTCTGAATTGTGAGTTATTTTCAACTCTATTCAAAGTAAATTCTAGGAAGCATCAAAAAACAGTAAATAATTTGGTTTTGGGCCCTACAGAGAGAGTAGAGCTCTCTCTTCAAGGCTGAGTTAACAGAAAAAAGACAACACATGAAAAATTCATTAGAAGGCACAGTGTGGAACAGAATGCTGGAATGACTGACTGCTGCATGCCTGGTGATGGAGACTGCTTAAGGAGGGGATAAAGGCAGGGCACTCGCTGCTGACGTGACAAAGGATCACAGAGCAACAAATAACACTGATGCTCCATCCACAGGAAATCTTTCTTGCTGTGAACTGAAGCCTGATTCCTTCCTCTTCAGTTAAAAAAAAATATTTTCCTAAGAATAAAGAAAAAAAATCAAAGTTAAGGTATAGTTACCTACTCTTTTTTTCAATTAAAAATTGGGAAGAAACAGAGAGGGAAAATAAAGCTATGCCTACCTGGAGCACCAGATCTTTTGTCTCCTGCTGATGATGAGTAGAATGTCTCTGTGAGGATTTGTACACTTTAGCGTGATGACAGCAAAGTGAGAAAGAGAAAGGGCAGTCCTTGACAAACAAGCTTTAAATCAAGTTATTCTGGAATGCAGACAATATTTCTATACAAACCATGCACACAAGGAGCACCAATCCAAGAGTCTTGCCCATCTTTACAGCATTTGCATTAACACAAGTTTGTAGGTCAGATTTATTCTATACAACTTGTTTCTCATGTTCTGTACCTCGACATCCTGAACACTGGATAAAGAAGTTGATTAAATCCAGAAGTGCTATGTCCCTGTCTTGTTTATATGATTCAATCCAGTCGTCCACCACAGACTGTCAAGAAAAAAAGAATACTTATCAGAGACTCTTAAAAAGTGTTTTATTAAAGGCAAATGACTTATTCTTTTCAGAATATAATTTTATAATTGAGCATTTATTTAGCATAATTATACATGTGTACAAATTGAAATATCTATGTACCTTCTCTCAAGGTGGAGACAGAACAAATATTGTTAGAGAGCAGAATTATATGCATCATTTTCTGGTATTATATTGTATAAACACAAGTTCAAGTTGAAATTACTGTAATTCCCCAAAACTACTTTGAGAAGTTTTTCAGTTTTAAAATTGTGTTGAAAAAAACCAAATATTGTTACTCCATTCAGAATGACCAACATATTGCCAGAAAACTGATGAACAGAAATACTTTGGGATAAATACTGATTTTATATTGCATAGTGAATGTCCCAGTCAGTCACTCAGGAACACTGTAAATAGTTCAGGAAAATAAAATATCATGAGGAATACACAGTAAATAAAATAATACACAGAAGTTGGACTTAGGGTGTTTCTAAGCTACCTGGATCACAGGATAGGAAATTCAGTCAGTTTTCAACTGCCCTCAGAACTACAGCTAGCCAGCAGCTATTTTCATCATCTCTGATATTCCAAGCTCCTCAGCTACATAAACACTGTAGGTAAGGAATTGTGTATATTTAATGTAATCAAATATTATGCTTTACTTATTTTATGAGGGAAAAGAAACTTTTCTGTTCCACAAATGCAACAGCATTCATTAGGAAAAGCCTGATTGTGTTATCAGAGCACACCTTGCAAATAGATTAGTTTATGCTGGACAGTTCAGGTCTATAATCAATTTCTATAAAATTAAATTTAAAAAGCCACACACACATACAAACACCCCACCATGCCCACACAACTGGCTTCTACCATGCTGAAAAGGAATCAATAGGAAAGACAAAAGAATCCAAACAATTTGATCTCTTAGAAAAATCTGCCTTTTTCTTAATTAGCTGTAAGGGAGGGATCTTGAAAAATCCCTCTGCAGTTTCCAGTTTATCCAGGTGCAAACTCCCAAGTTTACCCTTGGCAGGAGTGTGAGGAGAAGGATGCAGCAAAGCACCCATGTATGTCCCAGAGACACAGGGAACTCTGAGCTGAGCCAAAGCCCTGCATGTTTAACACACATCACTGCACTCAGCCTTGAGCCAGGAGCAGACCAGCAGTGCTATCATATCCAACAACCAGCATCAATCTCTAAACACCCAAGTGGCCAGGAAACTCAGTTTTCACACGTTTTGCCTCCCAATACACACATACACACCCCCAGTAGGAGAAGCAATCTTAAAAAGGGTCCATCTGCTACTCAGAAGAAATTAGGAAGCAAGTCTTGGCCTTTAATTAAGCTTCACACAAGTTGAGGAAGCAGCAGCACAAAACCAGTTATCTGGAATGTTATCTCACTGTTATTTCATCATGAATTCAGCCCTGTTCCTGGAAGTATCAATCATTTCAATCAATCAACAAAGTTCTCCAGGGCACAGAAACCAAATGTAGCTGAATGTAAAAAGTATTTACTACACCAAATATTGACAGAGCTTAATGACCAGGCTGTTGGTGTACTACCAATTTACAAGATTTGTTTGAACAGCTCTATTACTGTAGATATCAGAACATGAAATTGCCAGAGCTATTTTTTACACTAAAGAAAATAGCAGCTGTGCAGGGCCAGACAACAGGTTGAACTGCCCACCATGGCTTACACATGCAGGGAAAAGCATAGGAAAAGGGCAAGAATACACTGATATTTCTGAGTTACTGTCCCAGATCCCAAAGACCCCAGCAAATTTCTTCTCTCATGGATGTGTCTGTCTAAACCAGCTTTATGTCTACATTGTCTTGCAGCAGTGTGCAAGGGTTAATTATTCACTGCAAAATGAAAGAATAATTGTGTTTTAAACTTGCCAATTGTTAGATCCATTTGACGTGACCCAATTCTTATGAAACAAGAAAAAACAAATTCCAAGCCCCTGTTTGCATTTTCCATGCTTCCATCTGGTCACCTCTTTCCAGGCAGAATAATCCTACCCTGTGCCATGTGGCTTGCCCAGAAATAATTCTGTATCTTTATCCTTGCCCACTCTTGTCACACATCTCCTGACAGTTTCTGAAGTCTACTGTATTCTTCTTTGAGCCTGGGAAATCTCAGCTGCTTTCCCTGAGTGTTAATATCTATTTTCCCAGCATCTGTTCATTATCCACAGCTGAGTTTCATAGAAAACACTTCCCATGGAAGTAAGGCTGGCCCAAGAAATTCCCTCCCACGTTCAGTCTTACTCCTGTTTGTTACTACATCACTGCCCCTTCAGCCATACCACTGCAGCTTCTCATGGACTGTGCTGTAAATACACCAAAGAACCCATCTGGACTTAAATGGGAGCCAAGGAAAAGAACTATGAAGAAATACCTTTAAATTTTGCTTCTGTTTCTTTTATAAAATCATTTAAATTATTTTTGCAGCACTATCTCACACTGCAGCATCAGTGCAGCTCCTCTCACTTCCATTTTTTCTCTGTCATACAAAAAGAATTGTGTGGGACACATGGTGTCCTTGGGCACTGGGGGCCCACTCTATCCTACCAGCGTGGCACTTGCACCTCAACCCAAAACCATCCTGCAATTTACAGAGAAATAAAGACAAGTGGCTCATCTCCAGACCTGGGGACCAGACTTGAGGCAATGCAGTCTTCAGTGGCAGCAGTAGATAAGAAAAGCAGAAAAAGCAGAGCAAAGGTTCTCAGAGGGATAGCAGGCAAAGACTGTCTTGACCTCCCAGAGAAGTGACAAAGCTGGAAGTACAATCTGAATTTGTGGGTAGGGCTCCTGTGATCTAAGCTGGCAGGCAGAAGCTCTCAGTGCCTTGGCACTCCCCACTGTGTGTGACACACCCAGGCACAGTCAGTGTAACTCCCTGCTCTGAACAGGCACCTGTGGAGAGCTGGACAATGCAATTGAGCTGCACAACGTTGTGTTCACCCCAAGAGAGCTCCACTGACTGAGGGGCTGCAGGAAATAAGTCACATACAGGGACCTGACCTGCCAGCATCAGCACAGAGCCACACAAACTGCATTCACCAAGCACTAAAAATCAGTGCCCCAGAATAACACCCAGAGGCCCCCACACTCAGCCCCTGTGCACACTTGGCATGCTGGCTGCCTAATTCTGTCAGAAATTACAGTTTAAGGCAACAGGAGATGATGAAGCCAGACTACATATGCCACAACAGTTGGAACTTAAACTGTTGACTTTTGATGTAACTGAAAAGAGCTATAAAAACTGAAAACACTAGATGAATAAATAAAAATGACACACATCAGACCCAAAAGAGAGACCAAGCATCAACTGAACCAAGACAAAACAGCAGTAATGCAAATACCAGGAAAAAAGACTGAATACAAGGAAAAAGGAATCAAACCACAGGCAGCAGTGTAGCAAATGGTGCAACATGCAAGCCTTGCCAGAAATGGAATTATTTTGCATAAATATGCATAGAGAGAAGGACTCCTATTAAAAACAAGAATTTCTAACCAACAGGCCTCAGGTAACAGCAAACTCTCTTTTTATAAATAATCCAAGAGCAAACTCAGGGAAGTGGCCCACATTTGATCCCCTTGCCCAGGGACCTCCTGCTCTTGCCCCTCTCTGTCACCTGTCCCACGCACAGATCATTAACACCTAGGAGGTGACAGGAGGGAAGGACCAGGTGGCCCTTTTGGAAAGGAGGTGGCTACAAGCAGGTTCCATCCCCCAGAACCCACCTTCACAAGTCTCCCTGTCTACTCCCACAAAACACCTAGGAAAGAAAGCAGCCGTAGATTGCATGAGCTGCTCCACTGGTACCCATCTGCTTCCAGATGTTTTTACCTACAGATGCAGTGGGGAGCATGGATTTCCCATATGGAAATGGGCACTTGCATGCTGTGCATGAAATACATGATAAATTCAGCACAGGACCCACAGGACATGTGCTGCAGCCTGCCCAGGGGCAGCACATCCATGCTTTTGGGAGTCACCACCTTCAAGGGACACACACAAGGAAAAGGCTCCTTTGGCAATGAGCTCAATTCCACAGATAAAGCCTCCAAATGACTCCAGTAACACCAAGAACCTTCCTCCACTCCCTGCTGTCAGGACACATCTGGACACACATGCACACACACTTAGATACATGCACACAGACACACACATGCACCACATCTCTGGGTCAGTCAACAAGTCCATACAGCTACATCACAAAAATAAGACTCAACCATTTTTTAAAATTATGAAATTCTTCTATTCTTATGAGAACTGGGTAAAAAGTCAAGGTTTCCTGCAAATGGCAGATGATGTATGGTACAAATACAGAGAACAAAGATTTTCCAAAGCCTGCAATGGTTTTCAAAAGAATCTCACAGAAATGAACTCTCTGATGACTCTTTTTTAAAAACTACCACAGAGCATAATTTGAAGAATAAGCCAGGTAAGCAATCCCACAGAAATAAGAAGCCTAAATGAAGTCAAGCAAACAGCAGAATAAATGAGCCTGAGTAAATAACTTCAAATCAATCAACTTGCAGAAATGTTGACCTTCACATCTCCAAGTCTGCTAAAAGATAAACCAAAGCATTTCATGGTGCTGAAGAGGAGCAGCAGCTTGGGCTTGCCAGTAAAAGCAAGTCAGATACAATGAATGAAAGAATGAAGCTAGTGATCTTATTACCTCCTCTAGGCTCTGCAGCTAGGAATCCATTTCATATTCCTGCAGTGTGAGAGAACTGAGGAGCATTCAGTGCTGGAGGAAGCAGAGGGACTGACTGCAGAGGACACCTTGCCAGCTCGTGTAAATTAGCACAGTCCCACTAAATATTAATGAAAGCTGATTTCAAAAAAAGCTATTTCACAATTTCAATTAAGTAACAATCTGGCAACAGTGCTACAAACAAAAGGGAAAACAAATGACATCATATTCAAAGTTCATGTTAAAATGGAA